TCCCATAGTGTAGGCTCCGTAATAAGGTACCTATAGTCTCCATTGTAGTTCCTTTTTATGGTTTAGCCAATTATATACTAAGGATCCCATAAGGTAACCCCAAAAAGGAACTACAATGCAGACTGTAGGTAGATCCCATAACCTTTTTGGGTTCCTTTAGGGCTTCCTTTAAGGGTTCCTGCAATTAGCGGTTCCTTCAAGGGTTCGTCTACTTAGATCCCCTATACCCAACCTTCAAACTTTTTGGGTTCTTGTGATTTAGTAGGACTCGGAAAGTTTAACCTTTCATTTCTGTGGCTTACTGGGGTAGTAAGAAGAGTGTCGGGGGTTTATGAGGTTTGGGGCCTATACAGAGTTTTAGGGCGTAGCGGGTTGAGGGCTTGAGGGTTAGCGTGTAGTGTAGGTTTGAAGTATGTACAAGTGTCGGTTTGTGGAGAGCCAGTAGATACAAGAGCAGACCTCATGGTTTATGTTTTGGAGACCTGGTTTTGGTTCTCGGGGGTCTGGAGCGTGCAGGTTTCAAATGTTCTGGTAATCACAGGGCTGGGAATGATTCTGATCGATGTCTTGATACGGCCCCTGGCTCAAAGAACCGTCCCCCATCGAGCACCAGACGCGATCTCTATCCTAAGCCCGATTCCTCAACCCTGAATCTTGAAGGGGTCCTGAACCCCGTCGCTTCATCCAGCCGTGATTCCGAAGGCAGCCACAGTCGCAGACTGGCTGGCAGAGGCCCTTGGCGGGCAGACATGGCAGCAGTTTCTTCATGCCGCCTTCAAGGATCAGTCGCAGTCAGAGAACCTGCGACACAAGATAGAATGGTTGCACCAGAAACACTTGGTAGGAAGGAGGATGTGCATCCCGATCCCGAAAGCTTTATAGAGTTCGCTGGTAGAACTACAGTAGAAGTAGAACAATACCACCGACATGCCCCCTAAACCCTAAACCCTAAACCCTAAACCCTAAACCCCAAACCCTAGTCCAGGTATCAAAGCCCCATTACATTGGGCCTCCACAACCTGTGATCTCCCAAGCTTCCAAGGGGAAAAGGAGGGACCCTTAATAAGGACCCCTAGGTATATACCCTTAATATAGCTATCATATACCCATTATATAGCCTATCATAGGGTAGGGGTCCCCATTAAGGGTCCCTCCTTTTCCCCTTTGAAAGCTATGGATGTTTTTGAAGCCCCAGCTCTCGCGGTGGACAAACAGGTAATGCCAGACATGCCCAGGGAGCCCAGTACCCCTTTATTAAGGAATATAGCTGAAATCATAATGCGGAGCCCTCTATAATGTAAGCCATATTGCTTAATTAAGGGGTATAGGGCTGTCTGGGTGTTTTCTAGACTTCCGGGAGTGGCTGTCCCTCTCACTCTGTGGTGGACCCATGTGTTTACATTGTGCCTACCTTCATCCAGCAGCACAGCCATCTGCAACTTCAACGTTCAAAGATGAAACTTGGCTAAACCACACTGCTGTGGGCAGGTGAGCAGATATCAGCCGCAGAAGAATTATAAGTCTTTCTGACCGGAACGACAATGTGATTGGCCCCACGCTTTCGGAGCCAGGTGTTGGACCTGCCGAGCGAGATCGCTGCAAAACATGCGCAGGCTAGGACCATGTCGGGCCTGGTGCTTTGTTGGTTGTGTCCCTAAACCGGCAGCTGTAATATAGAGGCCTTAACACTTACCAATGCTATTTTGGGGGTTCCTTATTATAGTTATAGTATAATGGGCCGAAGCCCTATTCTAACTACTAAGGCCCCTGTATGAAATCATAACTCGAGTCAGTGAGGCCGCAATGACGCGCCCAGCTGTACACCTCGCGACCTTCCCAGCCTGGAGTGAAGTGACTGAGAAGGCTGACTCTTCGTGTGCAGGGTTTAGGATTTAGGGGTTTAGGGTTTAGGATTTAGGGTTTAGGGTTTAGGATTTAGGGGTTTAGGGTTTCCTGGTTCATGGTTCAGCAGGCAACATGTGTGTTTGCGAAATGTGCCTGACATATGTTCACTTAGCTTTGAGTTTTGATCTGTTCAAGGTTCTGCAAACTACTTCATGCAGATTGTTGCGAGAAGTACAGTTTTCCATAGCAGAAAGCCAGTTCAAAAGCCGGATCGAAGTTCGTAAGTCTAAGTGACTAGGATGCCCAGTAGTACCCTTATTCCCTTTTTGTAGTCCTAGGTTCCTTATAAAGTTACCCAATACCAAAAAAGGCAGCCCTGTTTATTCCTAGGTTACTGGGCATCCTTGGTGATACATGCAAGGCTATGGTTGGTAGTGTCTACTAGACCGCAGTTAGTACAACAGGTTAACATGGAGGTAGGAACAAATAAGTAGGATTCCCTATAGCTCCATTGTCCCTATACCACAAAATACCCCAACGCCTATTCTAATCAAGCAGGCCCTTATCTTATGTTGGGACTGGGGTGCTGAATGCCTGCCCTGGACGTCAAGAAGCTCCATGTTCATTGCCATCATGTTTCCATTGTATGAAGTTGCATCATCTTCATCTTCGTGGGCCACCATAATGGGGATGAGGACGCTGATGATATTGATGGTGGTGGCCCGTGATGGCGATGATGACGATGATGATCATGACGATGAGTCGAAGTATTGGCGGCGCTGGAGCATTCCAATTCACTGGGGATTTTCCTGCGATGTACTTCATTGATTCATTTCGCATGTGCTGTCTATGGGGTTTCGGGCTTTTGGATGTGGGGGCCTGGAGCTTAGGGACCAAACAACGGTGTAGCCCGAAGCAAATATTTCCATGGTCTTTGCAGCAACAGAGGGAACTTGCACCGGCAAGACTGTAAACCCCGAGACCCAAGTGGGAGTTTCCGAAATTATGTAGGGGGGGTACCTTACTTTGGGGTCCTTAGAATAAGGATCCTACTATTTGGGGTACTGTACCTGTCGGGTCATACCCTACCCCTTTTTGTAGGTTCTCTTATATAGAAAAGTAGGTAGGGTATGACCCTATAGGTATTAGGGTCCCCTATTTTCGGACCCCCCAAATCTCTAAGCTCCGACCTCCGTTCGGTTTAGGGTTTAGGGCTTAGGGCTTGAGAGGGGGCTGTTGTGGCGTGGTTGCTATTCTTGAACCTGTAAAAACTGCTTATGCATACACGCCACAACAGTCCTTTCTGTAGGGTTTAGGGTTTAGGGCTTAGGTGTAGGGTTTAGGGCTTAGAGTTTAGGGTTTAGGGACTGGATGTTCTTCACAGCAAGATGTCAGGCGGACAGTCTGCGAGCTCTTGGCCTTGCAGTTCAGGCAGGATGCTTGCTCCTAGTGGCAGGGATCTAGGGCTTTAGGGTTTGGGGGTTTAGGGTTTAGGGGTTTAGGGTTTAGGGGTTTAGGGTTTAGGGGTTTAGGGTTTAGGGGTTAAGGATTTAGGGGTTTAGGGGTTTAGGGTTTCGGGGTTTAGGGTTTAGGGAGTTTGTTTCGTGGGGCTTTGGAAGTTTAGCATGGGCTCTTAAGCCCTCTTGGCCCGGGAGCCTGGCTTGGCGTCTGGGGCAGGCTCCATCACCGGGCAGCTTCAACTAACCGTTCCGTAGAACCCGCGATGCGCACCCAACCCCGATACGACCGGGAACCCTGAACCCTAAATTGAAACCATGACTTCAAGTCCAGGTCCAGGTAAGGGCTGGACAAAGGATAGCCCTGTTGGTTCCGGGTCCACAAGACTGGAGAATGCAGTGATTGAATGTCCACACTGGTCATCATTAATGTCATTGTAACTTGTCATCGTAGATCAGAGCCACTGCAGTAAACCCCTTTGAAGATAAAAGCTCTGAAGCCGCAGAACCTCCTCCCTTCCTGAATAGGCCTTATTAGATCCTATTGGCATTAAGGCCCCCTACCCCCTCCCCCAGCCCCCCTAAGGGTCTGTTCCCTTCCTGTCTGGAGGTGGGATCAACCGGCTTACACCGAGCCATCGTCGATCTCTTAACCCGGGTCCTGGGCATACTGCAGAGCGAAGTTGTCGACTTCGACTGCCCTGAGGACATGCTTACAGGCATAGGTATAACATAAGTTTCCTTGGTGGGAGTTTCCGAGAATTACGGCTAATTTGAAACGCTGCACGTCGTCCGCCTCGGCCCGGCTGTACGCGCATGCGGCGAGTGGCTACTATCTGCAGCAAGCTCTTGTAGGAAAAAAGTAACAGTTGGAATCGCACTTATAGGAAAAGTAATGTTCATAGCAACACGAAGCAGGATGATTGTGAGTAGTATTAGTATTGGTAGTATCAGTACGAATTTTGGTGTCGTCATTCCGAAACACTGGATACCAAGACTCTCGCAAGCGGCGGGATGCCTTAAGTATGGGCCGTTGAGGCTGTGTGTCGTCGAAAACTCCAGAAAGCTCGCACCTGTCAGCGAGGCGGGAGGGAAGGGGGGGGGGGGGGGGGGGGGGGGGGGGGGGGGGGGGGGGGGGGGGGGGGGGGGGGGGGGGGGGGGGGGGGGGGGGTGGGACTGCCCACAGAAGCCAAAATCGGGTGGAGGGGGCGTTTTGGAGCTCAGAGGCGAATTAGGCACACCTTATTTGGGTGTCCTTACAACAATGATCCTGCTGTTTAGGGTACTATATCAGGGTTCCCCATTTTCGGAAACTCCCATGTTGTATTGCTATGGACTTGATACACTGATAATAGGTAGAGGTTGCAGTACAGCAAGCAGCGCGACGACAAAGAAGACAACGACGACTGCTACTATTGCTACGACGACGACTACTTACTACTGCTACTGCCACTTATACTATTCCTCCTACTCCTACAACTGGACGGAACTGACTTTGTGTTTGGAAATGTAGACGGAGCATTTCGGGGGCCAGGGTGTTTACGGTCTAGGACCCACTGCTCTAGTCCTGCATTGTGCTGCTCTTCGCGCGCCATTTGGCTGCATCCCTCAAGCAGATGGGTTGAATGTGGACGTTTTCTTATAGGTGATGCGAGAATGAGCTCAGTGTGCCAGCCTTGCCAGCAATGGGAGGGCGTCATGGCATCTATTTGTAATGCTGATGTCGCCCGCTTCGAAGAGAAGGAGATGATTTCCGAAGTGTTATCCCCAGAGTACAACGAGCAGCCGCCTGCGGGATTTACAAACGCATGCGCCCGGGCTAGCAGCAGTCAGGTTTACGAAACCCAGATGCAGCCTGTCTTGCCGCCTTCCAAGTCCCAAGAGAGCCGGGATATGCCGAAGGCTCCTGCGAGGCCAAGCGATGAGAAAGTACAGGAGTTCGTCAGACAGTTTCAGCAGGTGGAATCCAGACAAGCCTCCTCCAAGGAGGCTCTGGAACAGATTTCCACCTTGGTGGAGGTCACTGTCGACATGTTTGGCACTCTAAATGGCGCTCTGAATCAGATGAAGACAGACATCGGACATTTACATGCCAATCTATCTTCGTTGGAGACAAAGGTGAGCCAAACACCTGTTCCAAGCACCCCGCCACATCCGGCCTCTCAGGTTGCAGAGAAGTCGGCAGGTGATGATGTTGTGGAGAGCATCGGCAAGGAAATCAGTCTGGAAGCTTGCTGTGGGGATGAACCCGTGCAGTCCTTGCAGCTGTCTTTCACCAGTGAGCCCACCTTTGCTTCGACAACACCCGATAGTGACCGGCAATCAGAGCTGACATCTCTGGATGTATCCAAGATCAGCGGCAAAAGTTCGACGGAGGGGCCCTCCCACCCGCATCCCAACGAAGCACTGGTGTCGTTGATCAATGTTGCCTTGAAGCACCCTGATCTCTCGGGCGCCCCTTTGCTTCGCCAGTGGCAGTTCCAGCAGCAGAGGGTAGGGCCTTCCAAGGAAATCGACTTGGTTCGGGGTGTAGACCCAGAGACTCCAATATCCCTTAGTTAAGGAATATACCTTAAATGATAGTAGGGATCCTAGTATAAAATTTGGTATATTCCTTAATTGAGGGATATTGGAGTCTCTGGGGAGATGGTTCCAGGCATAGGGTTCTCAGGCAGTCCTTCACCGGCAGATTTCATTGTGGCCAGGTGAAGTCTCAGCGAGACCTCAATGTAGACCTCGTTGCCAACAAGTCTGTGCTCGCCGCACAGAATCAGCAATTCGCTGCACTGGTTCGCGTGGCCATGCATCACGGGTCGCTGGCGGGCCGGGACTTACTGCACCAGTTTGAGTCAGAGCTCCACTTCGAGGTGCAAGTTGGGTTTCGATCTTCAAGTTGGATTGATGTAAGAGGGACGCTTCGGGAGCGTGGTCATCACATCGGTTCCACCGAACCTAGGTGAATGTATACAACTTAGCCCACAACCCTAAGCTTCAGGCCCTACCCCGACCCATTTCGTGGCGCCACTTCGCTGCCGTACATATGCCCTTAGACTTAGACCCACACACCCCAATCCCTATTGCAGGTCACGAGTTGCAAGTGTATGGGCTTCTTCATTGCGTATTATCATTGCACGAAAACCTAACCCCCGGCAGCCCAAACCCTAAACCGCTTGACCCGTAAGCCCAACACCCGGTTATGCCCCTATAGCCTCAAATCGTACGCCATGAACCCTAAACCCCGAAACCCTATAGCCTCAAAGCCCTCAACCCTAAAGCCCAAAACATATCACGGCCCTTAGCAGGAGGAGAAGCATTCCGAGACCCGTGCCGGTCGGAGCAGCGATGCCTCCATCTCCTTTCGGAAACAGCTCCTGGGTTCTAGGGTTTTTAGGGTTGAGGGGTTTAGGGTTTTTTTGGGGGTTTAGGCTTGGGGGGCTTAGGCGTTGGGTTAGGGTTTATAGGGGCTTTAGGAGTTTAGGGTTTTGGGGCTTAAGGGGTTTAGGGATGTAGGCATTTGGGTGGAAGTTTAGGAGTTCAAGGGGTTTCCAAGGACTTTGGAATGTCCTGATAAGGCGTTGCAGGCGGCTTTCACGCGGATTTACACGGATTGAAGAAGCACGACATAGCGTCAAACATTTTTTCAGGGCTTCAGTTTACATGCATAAGTTGCCAGAGTGGCGAAGGCGTATGTTTACTTCGCAAAATATCCCTAGTAATTATGGTGAGCCCAGGCTCAGTCAAGAGTCTTCTGATGACGTGCTTCGAAGCTATGGTATTCAGCCGAGCTTGTGCCATCAACGAGGCGTTGTGTCACTGGTGCAGGTGGCATTAAAGCACCCCGATGTCAACGGCTTTCCGTTACTGCAGCTCTGGAAAAAGGAGCGGGTCAAGATCAAGAGCCAACGGCAGTTGAACTTAAACTGCGTAGAGAAGAAGTGTGAGATTCACCTGCAGAACCGGCAGTTCGTGGCTTTGGTATATGCAGCTCCTGGGCTCTTGCTCAGGGATTTAACTTAAGTTAATAATTACCATAATCAGGAAACCAGATTAGTTACAATAGGTCCCGATTATGGTAACTTAAATTCTTTCAGGTGATTTTCTTGAAGTAACCATAATAATAGGAAGCCACGTTATTTTGTACTCTCCTAGTAAACCCTAAGTGCAAAACTTGAACCCAGGCTTTATTCTATCCGAACCTCGAGGGCGCAGAGTTGCTGGACAGGTTTGAAGAGCTGCAAGGAGAAGCTTGCGAGCCCAACTCGCCTTTAGCCTCTGTGAGCCTTGGTTTGGGGTTTAGGGTTTGGGGTGTAGGGTTTGGGGTTTAGGGTTTAGGGTTCGGTACCCCAGAAGGTAGATAGAATAAGAGCCTTTTACAGGTATCGGGCCATGAGTTTACTTTCTTTTGGTGGGGGCTTGGGGTGATTTTCTTCTTGTAGTAGTGAGGTTGCTGGATGGCTTTCTGAGTCGTGCTTCATTCCCGGCATCATCTTTAAGCTTGGGCATATAGAGTCGTTCATAAGATCGTATTGGCGATTTGCTTTCCGAGGCATGCTCCGTAGCTCGCGTGATTGCGCTATTCGAGGTGTCTGTACAATGGCATCCTCAGTCATGGCACCTGCAGTCTTGAACCCCCCATGTCACAACTTAGGAACCCAAAGACGTTCTGGTCCAGATCCACTTCACCGTCACCGCGCCCCTCCACTTCATCGTCACCGCGCCCATCACTGACCACCGCCTTTGATCCCCAAACACAAGAAAGATACCGGAATGCATGTGGCAATACGTTTGCTGTAGGGCCATAGCAGAAGTGCGCGCAGTCACGATGTTCGAATCTTGAATGGCTGTACGCAAGAATACTTGGCAGGATTGGTAAGCCTCGTCAGAATGGTCGTAGATCATCCTGAACTCAGCAGCATTCAGCTTTGCGAGCTTTGGCGGAGCACGTCCAGAGACTGGGCTTTGTTTCAGGAACTTGTTTACAGCTAATGGTACCATGAAAATATGAGAGTTTGAACTGTGGTAAACACGATGCTGGCTTGTGTTACAATACATTATATAAGAAATAGCCGCTGAGAAGCCCATTGACAGGGCTTTACAACTTTTTTCTGCCAGCGTAGATCCCCAAAAAGTAAAAGAGCATCACAACGACCATGACCACTAGGATCACAAGGACCATGCACCACGACGACCACTACGAGCACGACAGCCGGGGGAGACCACGAGGAGATCACCAAGGGACCCCAGCAGACCACCTGGAGACAAGCAGGAAACCAGCAGACCCAGAAACCATTAGGAGACCACCAGGAGATGCCCGGAGACCACCACCCGGACAGAGCTTACCTTCCTGAAAGGATCATGGGACTTTGTAACTAGGGTTATTATTTGGGTAACTATACTTATAGTTACTTATATATAGAATGCTTTCATCCAAGAAAAACAGAGGCACTCCGGTCTAGCGGCCCCAAATCCTTCCCACAAATACTGGCAGGATTTTGGGCCACTCCGCTTATGCTTCCCCACCGTAAGTGGCGGGAATCAGAAAGACAACCAAATTCCTTTCCAGCAAGTACTGCTGCGATTCAAGGTTCGGGAGGTCAAACGATGGTCCGTGCATCTGTAGTTTACAATTATTGCGGCTCTCGGGAGACGGGGGAGCAGCGCGTCCTCCGTAAAAAATCGACGCGGGCGCAAAGTATGCACTACACCGTACACGTGCGCGCCGGCCGCGAAGAAACGTGTATTCTGTTCAATCTAGATGTAAGATGTGGCCATACGCTGTTCGGGGGATAAGCCTCAGTACACCTTCACGAGCTTTTTTGAAAGCACCCTCGTAAAATGCAGCCCAGGATTTTAGAACCCTAAGATTCCGAGGTTCCCTAAAGAACTCTAAGCGTTCTAAATTCACTTTAAAGAGCCCTAAAACGTACCGAGGAGATGCTTGCAGTGCTGCCCCCGCCAGCGCTGGCTCTTGCCGGGCCCAGAGCAGATCCAGGCTCCTGGGGTTCGGGGTTTCGGGGTTTACCTGTAGTCTCCAGTGTGGTTCGTTTTTTTTTGGTTTAACCAATTATAGAATAAAATGGAGACTATAGGTAGGGTCTTAGAGTTCAGGAGTTTAGGATTTCGGGGTTTAGGGTGTTGGAGTTTAGGGGTTCAGGGATCTATAGGGTTTACGGTTTAAGGCCGCAGGGGCTTCGGGGTTTTAGGGTGTTAGGGTTTCGGGCTTCAGGGGTTTAGGGGTTTAGGATGTTAGAGTCTAGGAGTTCAAGGGTTTAGGGTTGAGAGGTTTAGAGTGTTAGAGTTTAGGGGGTCAGGATCGTCCAGGGGTTTAGGGTTTCGGGGTTTAGTGTTGGAGTTTAGGGGTTTAGGGGTTTCTGGGTTCAGGGGTTTAGAGTTTAGGGGTTTCGGGATTTAGAATGTGAGAGTTTAGGGGTTGAGGGGTTTAGAGTGTTAGAGTTTAGGGGTTTCGGGGTTTCGGGCAGTGTTGGAGTTGCGGGATTCAGTGATCTATAGGGTTTAGGGTCTTAGGGTTCAGGGGTTTCGGGGTTGAGGGTCTTAGAGTTTAGGGTTTCAGGGGTTTCGGGTTTCAGGGTGTTAGAGTTTAGGGGTTCAGAGGTAGGTTTAGGGTTTCAGGGGTTTCGAGGTTTCGGGTGTTAGAGTTTGGGGGTTCAGGGGTTTGGGGTTCAGGGTTTAGGGTTTTCCTCTGCTTCAGAAACGTCTTCTCGGTTGTAAGGGCTGCAATGCCTATAGATACACCTGAACACAGGGTACAATACCTGCGCACATGCACATATAAGTGTTTTGCACACACACACACAGGTTTCCATATATACATATGTACATATACGAAGCCATATGCATATACCTCTACATATACATACGCGTGCATATACACACACATAAACATACACCTACACATGCATACATGTATACATACCTGGCGACATACAGACAGTAATACATGCATACATGCATGCATGCACTCACATGAAAATTTGTGCGCACCTGTAAAAATTCAATGGATAGACAGATAGATCGATAAGTGTACCGGTAGCTAGATAGATAGACAAGTAGGTAGCTAGATAGATAGATAGGTAGAGATAGGTCGATAGGTAGATAGGTATGTATGCGCATAATACACACATATGTATGTATGTATATATATATATATATATGTTTATAGATACATATTCATATATACATATGCATATATTTATATATAGATAAGAAGGTACAGATGTAGATTCACACATAGGTATAAGTATAGATAAGGATAAAGATAAGATACGTATAGATATAGATAGTTGGACCTAGCTACAGATGGATAGATAGACAGACAGACAGATAGATTCACGAACAACTGGATAGATCGATACAGCACATAGATACAGTCTAGTATGCGGACTAGTCAGTAGGATCTCAGAGGCGACTCGGTCGCAGAGCTGAGGTTCCTCGGGACGATGTGCTCGACACTGTGCTCACCACTGGGCTTCTTCGGCCCTAGCTCCCGAGAAGGTACCGGAACATGCAAGACTGCATGAGAAGCAACGCATTCTGGTTCTGCTCAGAAGCTATTTTTCGGCCCCACAATAACAATGGTTATGCTTGAATGGGAAGTCGAAAGTCTCTAAAGCTCTGTCCTTTGAGCTTATTGCAACACTTGTTTCCTGCAGCCGAGCTGTCAGTTGGATGCTCTGACGGATTGCCACAGCATCATATAGAGAGAGAGCTGAGAGAGAGAGGGGGATGTGATGCAGCCATGTCTCGACATTGAGGGTCCTAACCTGCACAGTTGTTCCATGAAAAGAGGGAGATAAGCCGGCAGCGATCAGTAGTCCATTATAGTGGAACTTTTCACAGAATCCAAGATGCATGTGCCGCTGCTCGTTTTTTAGCAGGAACATGTGCAGCAAGGGATCCCACTGCCGAGAGAAATGCTGTGACGCTTCCCCACGCCTGTGGCGGGAAGGACACCCACACCTGGCCGAGTAGATGCGAGATGCAGCGAGCGAGTGAACTTGGAACCCTAAATCTTAAACCCTAAGCCCTAAAGTCAGAGGCAAGACAAGAGCCAAAGTTTCGCAGTGGGCGTTCAGATTGTGCCGGGCAGCCCGTGGCGAATGAAGCGCTGCTGAGCTGAGTTTCAACCTCGCAAAAGTTTCTTGAGCAGCCTAAATCCAGACTTTTCGGATAGCGGCGATTGCTGTCGTCGTCCTGTTGCTGGCTATGTAGGCGTTATTGTGATTCTTATGAGAGTTATGACTGTGGCCTTCTTACTGACTTTCAATTTGCTCAACTTTCTAGCTTAGGTCAATCTGTTACGATTCTGTATGCGTGATGCTTTCAGTTTGTCATGTAACAACTATTTCTATAGTTTTGCCAACTCGTTTGACCGACCAGTCGGACCAAAATTACCATTCGCCTCGCCAAATGGTGAGAAGACGCCTCCATGCGAGGGATGGTCTACATCCGAGTCCCTGTATTAGGATGAAGTTTTAGCTTTTATGGAGTTGGGTTTCTTATTTAAAGCCAAGCTTGGTGGTTCGAACCATAGTAACTAAACTTCCAGACAGCAGCGTAAAAGAGAGGGAACGTTTCTGTGGAACAGCCCCCCATGTATTTTACACGTCGTCAGTGTCTCTCAAGGGCTGAGCTCTGGACAGTCCTATGTTGCTGTGGGAGTTTCCGAAAAGTAGGGGATCCTAATGTAGTACCCTAAACAGCAGGATCCTTATTAGAAGGACCCCAAGATACGGTCCCCCTTGTTTTCGGAAACTCCCGTGTTGTACCGGAGGCCAACAGGGCTTCAGCTAGCGGGTCTTGCCTTGGAAGTATGGTCCCCATCTGAAGAGGAACTCTGAACCCTGGACCCTCAGCACCAAAGTTCAATCCACACCAGTCATGGTCCCATATTTTTCAAAAGGCCGAAACCCCAAAACCCTAGTACAGAGGTCGGAATGATTTCTGTACATCCCGGTTGGCCTCCGATCAATGTTGGAGTTTGAGCGAGATCTAGGGGATGCCCTTGGTGTTGTGGGGACTGAAAAGGTTTAGCATCCATGAGGGTTTAGGGTTTAGATGTTAGGATTTAGGGTTTCAGGTAAACCACTGTTAACCCAAAGCCCTACATGCTAGGCCTGTCCTCGCAAAATACCCGGGGTCCCTCAGATCCGCAGGGAGTCTTCTCCATGTCGTTGTTACACAGAGCGTGTACATACAGAAATACACTTTACTCTCCAGCCACAGCTTTTCAAGAGCCGGGTGCCGTGCCGCCGTGCGCTTTTTCAGCATGGTACCTTGAAGGACGTGAACATACATATCGCGAATATATAAATAAACAAGCAAGCAAAGTAGATGTACATATACATATAGATATGCACGTGGTGCCTGCATAAAACGTGTTACGTGCAGGCACACGCTAAGTGAGCTATGTGTTCGGTTTAGACAATTTACTAAGTGGTTCGTGTCGGTTGTCCCCAAAACCAGGGATAGCATCGCACGTGATAGGTGCAGCCACGCGCTTAGTGAGCTAATTATGTGTTCGGTCTAGACTAATGTACTACGTGGTTCGTGTCGGACAAGTCTGTGAACAAGGTTTGCAGGCATCTGGCCCGTAACTCGCTTCTGGCAGAATGTAAAGAATGACATCTGACCATGTCCGAGCTCGCGCACAAAAGCTTCGCTGTGTTTATTGTAACCTGATTCAGATTCTGGCAAGCGGCTTGCTTTAGCTCAATTCAACCAACGACCCTTACAAACCCGAAATGATCAACTCCGAAACCCGAAACACTACACCGCGATAGCCCTATAATCTCAGCCGGAAACCCCGGGATATGCCAAGACTTCGAGCGGCCGAGTAGTAGGGAGCCGAGCAGTCACCTTGCGAACTCCTTTTCTAAGCAAGCTCTGATCATGCCGATCTTGCGCACATCAAGGTAGAGCAGCCCTTTACAAAACCCAATGGAAACTCCTCAAGGAACCGTTATAGAACCTTAGAGAGCTTTGTGGTAACCTCATAGAACCCGTGTACAACCCTACTTTTGGAGGATCATGGGACTTCGTAAGTAAGGTTATAAGTACCTTGATTGGGGTTATAAGTAGTTATGAGTAGAGTTACCCTAATTATAACCCTAGTTACCAAGTCCCATGATCGTTTAAGTATGGAGGTCTTAAGGGCAGTCGGAAAGGACCTTTGTCTGGACTTATAAGATGCCGAGGTCAGCAATCGACGCGGCAAGATCGGGGGCTGCTCGGTAGATTAGGGTTTGGGGACTTGGGGTTCAGGGTTTTAGGGGTTTAGTGGTGTAGGGGTTTTGGGTTTTTGTGGGTTTGTGGTTTCAGTGAGTATTGCCAATTGCTAGGTCCTTATCATACCCATAGTATGATTTATCCCCAAACCCTTTCATTTATCAAGGCCCCGACAGTATGTCAGATTCTCAGAGGATTGGTGCTGATGCGCTGTCTTATACAGATATCAGCGAACCGAGTCTGCAACGGCCCAGGTTCAGGAGTGAGATCCAGCTTGCTTGAAACACTGCTCTCCCTCAACCCATACACCCGAAATGACCAGAAGTAGTTCGATCTACGGCCACTTGTTGAACTTACAGTCTCGTATACCACAAAACCTTGTCCCAATTTCCAAGGCTCCTAGTTCATGCCCTCAGGCACTAGTTAGCCTCAAAGCCCTGTGGAGAGAAATTGAAGCTGATTCGGTCTCAGGTCCAGTACCCAAAGAGAGCTACATGGATTTGTTCACAGGCCGAGGGCTGGTTTGCAGTTCAGGACTTCGGGGCTTGGGTTCGGGGTTTAGGCATTAGGCTACGCTCTACTGTCAGCGAGGGTAACTAGCCTTTGGGTTTGGATGGAAACTGCTTGGCTGGTTCTATTCTCGTAGCAACAACAGTCGCGCTAGACCGTTCGAATGTCCCGCATCAATAGAAAAGCTGTGTATTATGTTGGCCATGTTTCTTGCACGTACACGACCCCCCCCCCCTGCCCTAAACTGCTAGAAAACCTCAACCGTGTTTAAAACCTTTGCGGTAACCCTTATAGCAACACACGCACGCCCCTAAACCTTAAACCCTAAAGCCCCTAAACTAGGCCCTAAACCTCTTTCCTTGGTTCAAGAGCTGGGGAATCAGCAGGCCGAGAGGCAGAACTGGACGAGCGAATCATAGAGACTGAGATCGCGATCCTAAGCCCTAGGCATGTTTTCGACTCAGAGGGAGTTCATGACATGACAGTGGTTTAGGGTTTAGGGGTTTAGGGTTTAGGGGTTTATTAGGAGTTAAGGATTTAGGGCTTCTTCCGCTGTCAGCCTCAGGGTTCGCCGAGCCCTGGGTAGTTTTGATTGCTGGGTCACCACTGCGCAAAAGCCCTGCTTAGCTTGGGCATCAGCAATCCCAAAGGGTCCAAAGTACCTATATAGTAGAATGTGGGGCTTCTATAATAGGAGTTACTATCATAAATTTGGGAAGTACCCCCATAACAGTACCTAGGACCCTTTGGGAATGCCAAGAACTCCGGCGGTTTGCGCATGAGCCAAGTGAGTTAAAGTGAGATGCATCTTATACATACACATATATGTAGATCCTCAAATGCCCGTAACTCTATAACACTGTGCCCGGGGCTGCGGGGGTCCGGATTTGTGGCGCCTGCAAAAGTAGATGAAGGGAGGCTCCAGGGCCCGAGTTATCACTTGGGGATTTAGGCTTTGGTGCTTCAGCTTGTGGCAGGAACATCATTCATCAAAAGGGAAAAGGAGGGACCCTTAAGGGGACCCCTACCCTATAATGGGCCATATAATGGGTATATAATAGCTATATTAAGGGTATATACCTGGGGGTCCTTGTTAAGGGTCCCGCCTTCTCCCCTTTGAATTCAGATCCAAGTCACGACGTTTACCAGAGACCTTCTGTCGAGGGCGGTCGTCGCCACACTTGCAAGACGATGTGCCAAAGCGCGTCTTCGGTGCCTCAAACCAAGCACCAGCCCACGTAAAACCCAATTTTATCCAGGATTTGGCAGTTGGGAGCACTGATTGAACCTGATGCAGAAGCCCTGGTGCCATTATCTCCAAAGCAAGTACTATGATCCCGCACCTTGTTGAGAAGCTCGTTGAGAACCACTTAGAGGATCCTGGGACTTAGTAACTAGTTATAATTAGGGTAACTCTACTTATACCTACTTATAACCCCTATTAAGGTACTTATAACCTTACTTACTAAGTCCCATGATCCTCCAAGCAGGGTTTTGCTTTTTCGGGTTCCGATGTTCATCTCCAGCGGAGTTTCCCATTGGCGCAGGCATGGCCCTGGCCAGCCGCAAGGCAAAAAAGAGGCAGAGCGTCGCTGATTGGCTTCAGGTTCAACATAGCGGCCATAGTCGTTACAACAAGGTTTGGAGTTTCTTGGAGGGGGCGGGGGTATGGGACAGTCATTCTGAGAAGCGAAGCACAAGGATTAATAATGTGGGAAATAGTGGAAGCACCATAAACCAGCGTAAGCCTTAGGATCCAACAAATCCTACGCCCTGACACTAA